GCCACTTGCGGCAATGCGTCACCCCGTCTGACAGCCAACTTATGTTCGTGTATGTGCGAACAGAGCATGCGTTCCGTTTGCCCTGTATAGTTACAAGGATGCGATACACTATCCCGGATTGTTCATTGGGATTCAGTGGGTCTTTTGTTTTTATTACCTGGCTGCGCATAGGCAGCGGCTTATAAATGCTTTCGCATAACCATTCCGCATGAATTAGTCGCGAAGATATCGGCCTCGCGTGCCTTTTCCTCCGGTCTACTGCAGTGAATCTGAATCTGTTTAAAGAGCGTTTTTACACAGCTTTGTTTGTGGGCAACCGGATGGTTGCTGTGAAAACTGAGAAGTTGTGTCATGTCCGTTGCATTGTTGCAAGTGACTGTCCACACCTATGAGACGGCCCACGACTTTAACTTCGCAGCGACGAGGACAACTGCTCACGCCGGCAGCAAGATCGAACGCGAACTCATTGAAGCTTGGGCCTCGGACGACAACTCAGTGAACAGATTTGTTGAGCTGGCGCCCGCATACATCGCCTTCCACAGGAACATCCGCACGGCTGACACTGGTGATTAATGAGTTCCCTCTCCATCTCCCTCCCCCCTATGACGTTTGGTTGGCTCCTACCCTCTATAATTGTTGCTTGTTTTTCGTGGACGCTTTTATCTCTGACGATTGACTCCCACAAGGGACCGAAAGCTCACAACAATGAACAAATTGGTCTCGTGCTCGACAATCCTTCTTCCTCTTCCACTTGTAATTGTTTTACTGATCTTAAATATGCATGTGCAAAGGCTGCGGACAGGACAGGAGAGACTGAAAATAAGGCCAACAGACCAAAAATACTGTTTAAACAACTCCTATTAGTTAGCGTTATCAAGTGTTTGGATAGGCGTAACTTTGACCTACTGAAAATGTGAACGTCGTTTTTTTTATTATGACTACATTCCCTCAGGAGGCCCTACTATAAATCCCTATCGAATTTTTAAATTATTCTTTCAGCGCACGGAAAGCGAGTCGCCGGATAGTATGATGTCCCAACAAAAGCCGCAGAAAAAAGCATATGCAGGAACTATATCGAATGCAAAAGTTGCGGTGGTTGTTGCTCAGGCTAGTGCTGCTACTCCGCCAGAGGTCTGCCTGGAGTCAGGTCTGCTGATCATTACTAAAATACAGGAGCTGAACGAAAGCGAGGAAGGAATCGACATCGCGAAGCGTAACTACAAACCATCCTTGGTTCACACACGAAGCAATGCTAGCCTGGCTAGTCAAACAGCATACGTCTCACGTGAAGCCTGCTGCAGAAAATCTGGGCGAGTCAGCAAAGTTGAAGTCCAGGGCAGTCGAATTTATGTTCAGTAAGTCTTGTTAGCATTTTATTTTCACGGCCAGAGAGTATACGGTTGGACAGACCAGGTATTAGGAACCCCCTCACTTACCGGTAATACAGATGGCTTTTTGCAACATTGCAGGAAGGTACCATGTTATCGAGTCATTACCGAAGTGTTACTCTAACCTTGCTACTAATTCTAATCTCCCGGGAATAGGAACACGTTCTCCGTGTAGGGCGAGTTCTTAGTCCTCGTCTTTACCTCCCAGACCTCAAAGGGGCTGTATCGAACTCAAGCATGGGATCACCATACTGACTAGCTGAACATTGGGATAAGATGACGATGACCTTTAAATTGCGGCAGATATTAGTTCAAGGGAGGTATTTATTAGAGAAAAGCAAGAAGACTCTCCTACCACTAAGATTAAAACCTCAATCAGAGGCTTCACATTTCATACAAGAGGAAGTAGATGATGAGAGATCAACAAGTAGAACGCACGGGTAGAACTCCCTAGTAATGCAGGTGACTTCGTGCTAAATTCTAGGGATATTAGGGTTAGGGTTAAGATAAGGCTAGAGTAGGTATCCTTCCAAGAACTTAACGCAAGACCACCTGTGTTATCGGGATGTTCTTATTCCCGTGCCTTTCTGGCCTGTATTTACAGACCTGTAGACCCGTCAGTTGGGGTAGGTCGCTTTTTAGAAATAAGTTTGTGTTCTTTAAGGGAGAAGCAAACGTGACAGTCTGCACAGGAAGGAAACTGCACTACAGAATCCAATCCATGCCATTGATTGGTGTATGAGTATCTGTGACCCCAGTCTTCATAACTTATAAGCAGCGCGATTGCGAGTTCAATCATGACACGGAGATGTATATAGCAGAACGCATCACCACCACCACCTCCACCATCGGCACTTAAGTGGACTTTAATCTGCATAATTTGGTCGTTCGCGGTAGCCTCAGATCGGTGAGTTAAAATGAAGCCTAGATTTGTGGCAAGGTCTTCCGGTACCTTTCAGAACTTTTTTATATATAATGCAGTGGCGAAAAGGTTCATTGCAGTCCAAATTGTGGACCTTTGCAGGTAAGGTTGTTATCTCCTAGCCATAGATATTCAGAGATAGCTACTGCCTAGAGTAAGCGGGGCATAATGCGTTGATTTTCTCAAGCTCTAACCGTGGATTTTGGTAGAACTTTACCTGTGCACACCGAGTGAATTCCGTGAGAGGCGAAAGTCCAATTAATACTTCATGCGTTACTCTAGGTGAGGATGGGAAACTTTTAATCTCACTTAATGTGCTTTTGAGTAGGTACTACATCAAAATGGTTTCAATATATTTGTTATCTCCAGCTGAACAAATTGGAAATTCTCCACGACCACTTCCATTGACTC